TTAAATTATGTGTTATTTTTCAGAGCCTACTTAAATGGAAGTCAGTTTATTTGATATTATTAAACTAATGCAGCAAACTATTCTTACTTGAAACCCTTGAACTATATTTTCTCATTTACTTAATATTTTCAACATTTGATTGCTAAAATTTTGAAAAGTAAAATATCTTATATTTATATTTTGCTTATAACATTAGCGTTGTTAAGGGATTAACTGATTTGAAATAAACTTGGATTCATTTATTTTTTAATTTTTATAAGATTCACAACCACATATATCAATTATTCAAAATTATATCCAAATTCTTACAATTATTTTACTTAGTAATCATACTCTTAATAAATTTTTACTTTTATCCTACATGTTATTTAGACTTGTAGTAAAAGTCCTCAGTCTGCTTACTAATATCCTACATCTTTTCATGAATGAATCTCTTTTAATTTCTAAGTGTTTTTTTGCCTATTTTGTTCTAATTTTAATAGAATTGAATAATCTAATTTAGTTTAAATTATTTAAACCTTAGAATGATGTTCAAATAAAGGAAGATATGTTAACAGCATGAATAACCTAAACTGCAATTTATTTGATTGTTTGTAAATTTCCACTTGACAAAACTTATAGCTTTAAACGCTTTAATAATCTACCCTTATTAGTATTTTTATTTGAAAATTGATTTTTTTCTCCAAATTTCAATTTGTAATCCTTAATTTCTTAAGAAAATTCTTCTACTTCTAAATACAGAACTCTATTTTTTTTATTATTAGATGAAGCTTTTTAACCATAATTATTCTAATATTTCAACAGAGGTTTATAACATTTGAAAATATGTTGTATTTTTAGATTGCTTTTTCCTTACAATGAATATAGTAATGAATCGATGATCTGTGAAATTGCATATCATTTCATCTGCTTCTATTTGATAATTCACTAATATTATGTATACACAAAGAAGAAATAACCCTTAAATGTATTGAATAGCCATCTTTTCGATGTAGATTATACCTAATTTAATGATGAGAGTATGCAGTGTTAAATCGGGAACAATACTCAAGTATTATAAATTAACTTAATTAGTTTTGAGATATATCTTTTCTTAATTTCATCATGGCTTAATAAGGCTTATGTATAATGTTTTCAGAATCATTTTTCATATTCATATGCAAGAGGCATTTTGAAAAAGCTTTCATATGAAACAAAAAGCATATGTTCATTTGAATAAATTCACATTACTATGTTTTGGGTCATTTGCAGGTTTAATGAAATTTAATTTAAGATCAACCAAAAAATTAAATATTAGTTAAATTTACTCATTTATGATTTCAAACATCCAAAGAGTTTAAAGATGCTTGATTTATAAAATATCAATTCTCCTTCACGTTTTCCAATAAAACTAAGATTTCTAAAAATGATTTAGATCATTGGAATTGTAGTTGAAATAATAATTTTGCTAATTTGCTTTGATCTACGATGTTTACAAATTTATATTATAAGAATTCCATTAAAATAAGCCATATAATAAGTAAGCGGCTTTATGATTAAAGAAATAAAACTCAACCATCAAATGGTTTCTTATTATAACAATATAAATAGGACTCCTTATATAGAAGACCTTGATCAATGCTGAAATTGGTTACCAGGAGTGTCTAATTCGGCTTCACAATTACAACTTTTTGATCTAGAACTTCAGTAGTTTCAAATCTAATTGTAATTTCTACTAGAAGAAGACACTAGACTTAAGATATTATTGATTATAATCATAGTTGCTTTCATCTTATTTGATAAAAATTTAGAATGAATTGAAAACTAGATAAGAATAATCGATCAATCTGGTCACAATATAAGCCCCATTCTATTTAAATTCTAAGGTTATTAGCTAAAGAATAATAGCAACTTCTTTTTTAAGGATAAGATCGAGTAATTAGTCTCGTATTGTAATTTACATTAAGAACTGCTTTTTTTTAAAGTTAAAATAATGGAATATGTTTATTAAATTTTGAAAACAAAAATGTAATATGGATATGAAGTTTACTAAATAGGAATATTATTGCTATCTGAATTTTGAGTGGATTAATTATATCAATAACTTCCTGAGTTTAATTTGAGGTTTAATAAAATTAAATTAAAACTTCTAAAGTATAACGAGAGTTTGCATCTTAAACCATAAAGAAATTAAATATAAGATTCTATCGCTTGCAACTTTTAGAGAGGCATAAATCTTTAGATAATCAATTTGCTCTTTTACAAAGTATTAAATTCAAGACCTTTTTGTATCATTTTTTAAGAAATATATAATAAAAAGTTTTAATAACTAAAGATGTTAATTTATCACTCTTAATCAACTTCCGACTCTATGCACAAATTAATTGAGAAGGAATCAAGTTATATATATATAATATTAATGAAGAAAGAAAAATAACTCAACCAAATAATATCAGCAGTGTACTAATAGTTAATTAAGGTTACACAATAAATCAGAAGAAGAGAGATAGAAAAATTTAGCAGGTTATACTAAAAGTAAATTATGATTTGTAAATAGATCATGAATATGGACTAATGAAGATTGTTACTAATTGATGCCTGATTTATTTATAAGGAAAAAAAGAACTCTCAATTTTTGGATTTGATATCTAAGGATGAATCTTCAAATTTTAATGGTGGTCAAATACATTCTGAGTAGCATGAATGCTATAAAATTGAAATCATAAATAGAAATTTACATTCTTTTTGTCTCAGTGTCTTTCATAAAGCTAAAAGAAGTAGAATTAATGAATTATTAGAAGATAATATTTAGGTAATTATTAGTTTAAAATAGTCAATTTAGATAAGAATCTTTAAT